TATACAGGTGAAACTCCAAAAATTAGAATATCGTGCAAAAGTTCATTTATTTCAGTAATGCAACTTAAAAGGTGAAACTAATATATGAGATAGACTCATTACATGCAAAGCAAGATAGTTCAAGCTGTGATTTGTCATAATTGTGATGATTATGGCTTACAGCTCATGAAAACCCCAAATCCACAATCTCAGAATATGAGAATATTGTGAAAAGGTGCAATATTCTCGGCTCAAAGTGTCCCACTCTAATCAGCTAATTAAGCCATAACACCTGCAAAGGGTTCCTGAGCCTTTAAATGGTCTCTCAGTCTGGTTCAGTAGGAATCACAATCATGGGAAAGACTGCTGACCTGACAGTTGTGCAGAAAACCATCATTGACACCCTCCATAAGGAGGGAAAGCCTCAAAAGGTAATTGCAAAAGAAGTTGGATGTTCCCAAAGTGCCGTATCAAAGCACATTAATAGAAAGTTATGTGGAAGGGAAAAGTGTGGAAGAAAAAAGGTGCACAAGCAGCAGGGATGACCGCAGCCTGGAGAGGATTGTCAGGAAAAAGTCCATTCAAAAGTGTTGGGAACTTTTACAAGGAGTGGACTGAGGCTGGAGTCAGTACATCAAGAGCCACCACACACAGACGGATCCTGGACATGGGCTTCGAATGTCGTATTCCTCTTGTCAAGCCGCTCCTGAACAACAAACAACGTAAGAAGCGTCTTACCTGGGCTAAAGAAAATCAGACCTGGTCTGTTGCTCAGTGGTCCAAAGTCCTCTTTTCTGATGAGACCAACTTTTGCATCTCATTTGGAAACCAAGGACCCAGAGTATGGAGGAAGAATGGAGAGGCACACACTGCAAGATGCTTGAAGTCCGTTGTGAAGTTTGAACAGTCTGTGTTGATTTGGGGAGCCATGTCATCTGCTGGTGTTGGTCCACTGTGCTTCATTAAGTCCAGGGTCAATGCAGCCATCTACCAGGAGATTTTGGAGCACTTCATGATTCCTTCCGCAGACGAGCTTTATGGGGATGCTGACTTCATTTTCCAGCAGGACTTGGCACCTGCCCACACTGCCAAAAGCACCAAAACCTGGTTCAATGACCGTGGGATTACTGTGCTTGATTGGCCAGCAAACTTGCCTGACCTGAACTCCATAGAGAATCTATGGGGCATTGCCAAGAGAAAGAGGAGAGACATGAGACCAAACAATGCAGAAGAGCTAAAGGCCGCTATTGAAGCATTCTGGTCTTCCATAACACCTCAGCAGTGCCACGGGCTGATAGCTTCCATGCCACGCCGCATTGAGGCAGTAATTGCTGCAAAAGGGGCCCAAACCAAGTACTGAGTACATATGCATGCTTATACTTTTCAGAGGTCCGATATTGTTCTATGTACAATCCTTGTTTTATCGATTGCATGTAATATTCGAATTTTCTGAGATTGTGGATTTGGGGTTTTCATGAGCTGTAAGCCATAATCATCACAATGATGACAAATCACGGCTTGAACTATCTTGCTTTGCATGTAATGAGTCTATCTCATATATTAGTTTCACCTTTTAAGTTGCATTACTGAAATAAATGAACTTTTGCACGATATTCTAATTTTTCGAGTTTCACCTGTATAAAGAGTCAGTTTAACAATGTCACACAAGAAGCCTTGGGATAAGTTAACTGCAGGGCTTTTTTTCTCAGAGAATAGGTGCAGGTACTCCCCCCTTCCGAGTCACCCACCAGCAACAATAGATCTCCAAAATATCCAGTTTCAATAGACCCTCCTGCAGCCAATAACAATAGACCCCCTCCATCAACAGTAGATCTCTCCAATCAACAAGTGACAACCAGCAACATAAAATTCCTACCACCAACAATAGACCTTCCCAATGGATTTCCCAGCAACCAGCATTAATAGGCCTTTCAGCACACCCTGACATGCCTTGGCATTACATACATTCAGTGATGGAGGTGCCAGAACTGTGTTCCCCCACATCTCTGCTGAAAAAAGCCCTGGTTAACTGAAAGATAATCATTGATAGGGCTTGTGACCCACATGGACGCTAACTGCAGCCTCTATCAAGTTATCCCAGAGGATTTTCTTTCTCCTCTCCTGCATGGGGACATGTTGGGAATGTGAGGTATACTCAGAGTTGTCTATGTAATTTGTGGTTCTGAAGGATGGCAGGGATATTGACATTGTTCCTCTACTTAGTCTCCTGGTAAAGCTTAATATGTGAATGCATTGAGAAAGGAGACTTCCTTTGAAGCCAAGCAAAATGTACCTTGGCAGGTGCAGTCTACTTTCTCCACTGCAGGTGGTGCTCAGCCACAGTGGCATGGCAGAGGGAGAGGAAGTCAAGAGGAACAAAGTTCCTCTATGGTATGCTGGGTTATTGGGGAAGTGATACTGCTGAGTGCTGCCACCCCATGTGACTCTGGTGGCCATCTTGGGTCAGGCACAGTCTATTTAGGACCCTGGCTCCCGGGTTTGTTGTGCATTTTGCGAGTGGGTAGCATTGGCACCAGTCACTGTCTCTCAGGGAAAGTCAATAGCAGTAGGGAAAGGTTCCAGAGAAGTAGGGATAGGATGGGGACATGCCATCCTTCCTGAAATCCTCCCATTTGGGTGCAGAATGGCCAGGCCGGATTCTGCCCTGAAAGACAGACACTGTTGGCATTCTCAAGGCCTGCTCCATTCTTCATGGCCGTTACATCCTGTGAGTGTTCCCAGTTGGGTGCCTTCCCCTCTGGCTGTTTGTAAGTTGAACTTTGACTTTAATATAAGTTCTGTTCTTGCAACTAGACTCTGTACATTCACTGCCGTTGCACCACGCTGCACCTTTCAACATGTTGGCTGTCTACGAGGCAATCTTCCCAAGGAGGGAATTCTACATTTTAACACATTTTTGAATAAGTATCAGAATATTGTATCTTTTGGAGTCTCTAGTAATAATGCAAGCCCAATGACCTCTTTTTATCACTTGATATGCAATTTTTTTCACAGGTGCTTGGAACTAAATTGAAAACTGAGTGCCAGTATTTCAGGACCTTTCGCTGTACACATGTTTTTGTTCTGATAATGGAAATTTCTGCTGCCTTTGAGCTAGGTCTTTAAGGAGAGAGATTGGATTCCCTCGGCATCCTACCAAGAGATCCACATTGTGCGAGAGTGAGTTGTGAATGGAAATCAACTGAAGATGTCATGGCCTGAGGCCAGCCCCAAAATGTGAAGTCATAGCAACCGGCTTGTCCTGCATGGAGTGTCAATTTGCAGGTCTTTGGATACATCTGCGATGTCCCATCCTTTATTCCGGCTCTCCTTCGGGTCCTTCCGCCAGCACCGTGCCATCACGTCCGGGTGCCACGTGTACGTTAGTTACGGCCAACAGATCTCATTGACCGGCATCTTACGGAGGCTGTTGGAACCCATGGGGATTTACAGTGATTTCTGGCCGTGGTGACACCTTGTTTTTTCCATCTACCTCCAGCTGGCCACGGGATTGTGGGTAATCCATTGGTCAACGCTGTCTGGCACTGACAGTTTAGGTACATCCATGTCTGTAAGCAGCCTCCTCTCTGGAAGTTTTTAGTTATGATCAAGTTGCATGGTCATAATAAATATTGCATATGTCATTCATCTCTTGGGCTCTATTTATGACACTCTTACACCTGGAACAGTGCTCCTTGTTGTTCAACTGCTGGTGTGCTGACTATGAATTTAGGTTATTATTATTATTTATTACAGGTACTTGTATAGCGCCATCAATTTACACAGCATGTTACATATATATTATACATTCACATCAGTCCCTAACCCTCAAGGGGCATACAATCTAAGGTCCCTAACTCACATTCATACATACACAAACAAGGGCACTTTAGACAGGAGCCAATTCACCTACCAGCATGTCTTTGGAGTGTGGGAGGAAACTGGAGTACCTGGAGGAAACCCACGCAGGCACAGGGAGAGCATGCAAACTCCAGGCAGGTGGTGCCGTGGTTGGGGTTCAAACCCACGACCCTAGTACTGTCAGGCGGAAGTGCTAACTATTTAGCGACTGTGCTGCCCCGAAGTTGTTGTTACCAAAGTTTGAATGCAACCTCCTGAGTAGTCCTTGGTTGAGATGCAAGGGCTAATATACTGGAATTTCACCCCAAGCTATGTCTTTCTAAGGGAGAACAGACCTTTGACAAATAACTGTGAGATTTATGGACCTTGACATTCGGTGTCATTCAGAAAACTGTTAAAAAGCATTTATTCACACCTCTACATAACTGTAATTCAAAGAATCTGTTAGTATCTGGTTAGGGCACAAAAGTTGTTAAAGATTATGTACTTGCTAGGTACGTTTAGTGGTCAGCCATAGGTGCAACAATAATTCGGGCGTGTTGAAGGTCATAGGATATAAAAACAATACCTTTGAAGTACACTCCGGCACATGGATTACTTCTGTGCTGCAATTAGTCTTACACTTTTTTACCTGTACAAATGCAGCCATCACGTTTTTGGTCTTGGGTTTAAGTATGCTTTAACCTCCCTAGCGGTCTGATTATTTCAGATTTTTGGTGCTGAAAGCGGTACCATTATTTTGCATGGAAATATGTAGTTTTTTTTATTGTAGGCTGTAATTTTTAGGAATAACTCACTGAAATCTGTCTGAACAAGAGTCTAGTAAACATCCCAGGTATGATAAAATTTGAAACACGAAATCGTAAATTATAATTTAATAAATAATCATAAAAAATAATAATATAATAATAATACATTTAATTCAATAATATAATCAAACCAAAAACACTGAAATTTGAAATAGAGCGCCAAGTTCGTACATTGCTGAGCAAAGTCGCAAAATCGTTTTCAGTGTCTGATGACGAATTTCCCCACCAATCATTATCACTCAATTCTGCAAGTGGTTCTGATTTACTATCGCTATTCTCTAGCTGATCTAAACCCGCTTTTGACCTAAAGGGACGCTTTTTGGACGCCATGGACGTTTTTCAGTTTCCAGGCAGAAAGAACAGTAAAAATGCAGGCAGGGCGCCGGACAAAGCACTAGGGACAAAATGTATGTGAAATGGGTTGAAACAGCAATGTTTTACCATGAAAAATTTGTTTTGAAAAAAATGAAATTTTTCAAAATTTTCAAATTTCCCGCTGCCGCCGGCGCCCGTACGTCCCGACGTCACAGGGACCGGAACACAGAAGCCGGATGCCAGCATCGGCCGGAGATGCTGCAGGGGAAATATCGTGGGAGCGAAGGACAAGGTAAGCTCTGCAGGGACTCCCTATGCAGCGCCGCATGGTAAGCCCGAGTGTAGCTCAGGGTTACCGCTTTTGGTATTGACATTTTACCCCGAGCTACACTCGGGAATACCGCTAGGGAGCTTAAAGTGGTTGTAAACTCTTATATATACCCAGTGAAGTGACTGGCCTCAGGTGATACAAAGAGATGAAACAAGTCCTCCTACAGATTTTGTACCTGTTTATCTGCAGTCTTCTCTTCTCTACAGCCGTTCAAAGTGCTGAATTTAAAAAGCTTGTCTGAGAGTTAAAAAAAAGGAGGCGGAGAGCTGAAATTACACTCTTCAGAGTTCAGTGAGTTAAACTCTGAGAGCTGATTGGAGGAAAGAAACACACATCCCTCCACACAGCACCCAGGAACAGAGCTGAGGCTGTCGATCAGCTGGAGAACCCTATCCTGTCACCATCTTCTCTTTGTGTCAGGAAAACTTGTCAGAAGTAATTTATGCTGATAGCAAAGGAACAAAGCAACAGACAGAAATGGCACATAGTGCTCTGGATTGAGATAAGTACACAGTATAAAGGAATATGCTTTGTTCATTCTTCATGTCTGAGGTTTACAACCTCTTAAAGCGGAGTTCCACTCACCCTGTCAAAAAATAAAAGTCAGCAGCTACAAAAACTGTAGCTGCTGACTTTTAAAAAACAGCCACACACCTGTCCCTTGGTCCCGGGGTGTGTCCCCCGCAGCCCGGTTCACCCGCCGTCCTGTATTCCAGGAGGCCAGCATCTTCAGTGTGGGCACCCAGCTGTGCAGCTTCACAGCCGGGTACCCATTTCACATGTGTGAGTAGCACTGCGCTTCATGAATGGTCCTGTAGTCTTCTGGGACCTGTCATGTGTCCCAAAAGACTAAAGGGAGGGAGGACACCTTCCGCTTCTGATCACCTAGGCAATCAGACCGGACGTGGGAGCAGGTACCTGTCAAATTCGGGTGCCCGCTCCCCCCCGCCCCCAAAGGTTCCAGTCCTTAATGGGGAGCGGGAGAGCAGTCCTTAAAGCGGAATTTCCCCTTTTAGGTGGAGCTCCGCTTTAAGTGTGATCATTTGCATCTTCAATTCACTGTCACAGATCTTCTGGCACATTTAGAAGAGCTGATTGCAAGGAACAGAATGTACAGACCACTGCTGCAAATACAAATGGTAAACTGGTCAGGTAACTTATTATACTTACACTTTTCCTTTTCAGGACAAAGTGACTGCAGGTGCTGCTGATCAGTTTATTCTGATAGAGGAGAATCCCACTGTCAGAATGCAGTAACTCAGTGGGAAGGAATCCTTCCTTATATGTCGCTTGGGGATTAGGGAATCCATTCTTTTTTTTTTTTTCGATCAGTCCACTGGTTGATAAAACAAAAAATGAATAATCTATGGCCAGCCTAAGCTTTTGTTGATACATGTATATACTGTATACTTATATATACACAGATTGCTAAGGCTATACGATTTATTGTCCAATTTCTGCCCAATTTCCTTTAGATTGACCTTCAACTATGTAGTGCAATGCCTGCCTAATTGAATGCAACTGAAAGTGTTGTTTAGGTTTGACCTCATATTTTATGGTTTTTGGTAAATTTAAAGCAAAATTCTCAAGAAAATTGTATAATGTATGGCCAGCCTTACAGCTATTTCAAGCTTATCAGTACTCATCAGTGCCAGATGTGAAATGATTGCTCAAAGTTTGCCCAGCTGGCATGTTGCCACTTCAGTTCATGTCTGTTGGGATTCTGCATTCCGAATAATATTAATACACAAAATATACTTGGATATGTTCCTGGGATTATCACTATGATGAGAAAAATTTGGCAGAACATATTATCAAGGTTAACATGTGTCCTTTTCCCAGGAAAGTTTACTTTTCTGCTTTGATATTTACTGATCTTGATAATAACTTTGTTGAAATAGTTCTTGATGCTGCAATGCTCTTAAAGTGATATAAAACCACCAGTTTTTAAACACTGTCAGCATCTGATTCAATCACTGACTGAGTATGCAGAGTCTTCATCTTTTCATCCTTGCCAGTTTGAGCAGGTGCCTTGACCCCTGACACAGGTGATGGGGCACTATTCCTCCTACTGACACCAATGATGGGGAATTATTCCTCCCACTGACACCATTAATGGGGCACTATTCCTCCCACTGACACCAATGATGGGGAACTACTTCTCCCACTGACACCAATGATGGAACACTATTCCTCCCACTGACACCAATGTTGGAGCTCTATTTTTCCCACTGACACCAATGATGGGGAACTATTCCTACTCTGACATCAATGATGGGGCACTATTTCTCCCACTAACACCAATGATTGGGCACTATTCCTCCCACTGACACCAATGATGGGGCACTATTTTTCCCACTGACACTAATGATGGGGCACTATTTTTCCCACTGACACCAATGATGGGGAACTATTCCTACACTGACACCAATGATGGGGAAGTATTCCTCCCACTGACACCAATGATGGGGCGCTATTCCACCCTTTCCTGTTTCAGGGGTGGCTCCTTTCTCTTCCAGCATCCTATGGAGCCATCCTTGTATGCATGGATGACAATTGTGTTCTCCTACATTGTGTACATCAGTAGACACACACAGCCCCATAGCCTAAGATGGCAAGGCACTCTCCTGAGCCTCCATCCCCCCCCCCCTCTCCCTTCTACAAGGGAGACTGACTGTAGACTGTACTGTCCACTGTTAAAGTGTTTCTAAAGGCAATTTGTTAATTAAAATAATAAACATCTTATAGTTACCTGCTCTGGACAAACTGCTTGTTATGGTGTGTGGGGTGGTTTCACATTCATCCTGAACGCGGGGGTACCTTTCGCGCAGACTGGGCTCATCAATGGCTGCGTGGCCCAGGAGTGGGTATTGCTTGAGCCTCCTACAGAACCAATGGCAGAGAGATGACAACTTCTGGGGAGGACAGCCATTCCTTCTTGCTACTGTCGAATGTTAAAATGCTCCAGGAGACCCAGATGAATTTCTCAGGACGAGAGGTAGAAGGTTGTGGCGACTCCAGTGGATCTGGAGAAGCGGCCATTGATGAGGCAGCTGGAGGTAGGGACAGGTGACTCCATAAGACTGGAGGTGTCCTGGAGGGTCTTGGAGGATAAGCCGCCACTGTAGGTTCTAGCAGTGCGGCGACAGGTAGATCAGTAGAGTCTTGGGAACGGGTGACCACAGCATCATCATCCCAGACATTTTACAACCTGCCTACACAGGCAGATGTGAAGGCTTTATCCCGAGCTGGGTTGTGTGCGTCCATAGATATGCACAGTGTGGATCAACCCTGCCCCCCACTCCCTCCTCTCAACATTTGATTGACAACAGCAGGAGCCAATGGAGTGTGAGTAGAGGGAGAGGGAGAGAAGATATCCAGCCATGCACAGTGCTGGATCAATTGAGGACTCAGGTAAGTATTTAGGGAGGTGGGGGAACATGGCAAGTTATAAAGCATTTTTTACCTTAACCCCCCTGGCGGTATTCTCAAGTGTAGCTCGAGGTTAAGTTTCAGTACCAAAAGCGGTAACCCTGAGCTACACTCAGGAATACCCTGCAGCGTTGCTCAGGGATTCCCTCTTGCACTTACCTTGTCCTTCTGCGATGACCCCCTGCAGTGTCCCCGGCCATCTCCTCCGGCCGATGCCGGTATCCATCTTCCGGGTTCCGTTCCCTGCGACGTCAGGACATACGGGGGACGGAACCGGCGGGAAATTCAAAAATTTTAAAAGTGACATTCACTAAATACACTAAAATCACATAGTATAACATTCCTGTATCAAACCATTTCACATACATTTGTCCCGAGTGCTTTGTCCGGCGCCCTGCCTGCATTGTTACTGTTCTTTCTGCCTGGAAACTGAGAAACGTCCATGGTGTCCAAAAAGCGTCCCTTTAGGTCAAAAGCGGTTTTAGACCGGCTAGAGAACAGCGATAGTAAATTAGAACCACTTGCAGAATTGAGTGATAATGATTTGTGGGGAAATTTGTCATCAGACACTGAAAACTATTTTGCAACTTTGCTCAGTGATGTGCGAACTTGGCGCTATATTTCAAATTTCAGTGTTTTTGGTTTGATTATTTTATTGCATTAAATGTATTATTATTATATTATTATTTTTTATGATTATTTATTATATTATAATTTATGATTTCATGTTTCAAATTTTATCATATCCGGGATGTTTACTAGACTCTTGTTCGGACAGATTTCAGTGAGTTATTGCTAAGAATTACAGGCCTACAATAAAAAAAGGACATATTTCCATGCAAAAAATTTACCGCTTTGTGCACAGAAATACTGACATAATCAGACCGCTAGGGAGGTTAATGCAATGAAAGCCTTAAGGTAAAAAATGTTTTAGCTTTAGAACTCCTTTCCTGTGAAGCCCAGAAGATCAGGGAAGCAGCACTGAGAGAGCAGGTGTCAGCAGCTTTGAAAGTTGTTAACTGGTAGAATTTTAAGTAATCGTTTACTGGAAAAAAAATTTTTTCTTGTGCTAAAAAATATTACTTTGATGGTCTGAAATCTGCTTCAGCATGTGATTAGGACCTCTCCATCTCTTAATAAGCAAATGTCACTGCTGTGTCGAAGTCCTGAATTTTAAAGTGCACCTGCAATTTGCTGCAACTATGAACGACAAAGGGGAAGACAGGGAGGATAGGCAGTAGCAGGGGTGGACTGACCATTTAGGCACCCGGGCACTGTCCGAGGGCCCGGGGTCAGTAGGGGGCCCCATGAGATGCCCCTGGTACCTTTTATAGGCTTTTGTGGGTGTGGTTTGAGTGTGGGCAAGGACACGGGGGCCCCATGATTTCCTATTGCCCGGGGGCCCTATGAGTTGTCAGTCCACCCCTGGGCAGCAGTAACCAGGCAGGCTGTATCATTAAATTACCTATAAACCCTTACAAGGCAACATTCGTTTTCTAAATCACTGTGTATAAAACACAGGACTGTGGATAAGGGGGTACTGGCTGTCCTCCTATACGGGGCCCAGGCTCAGCAGAGAGGCCCAGAAAGCTGGGTGAATCGGATGTAGGC